TACAATTTTTATGTCTCCTGATTTCCATTATGTACCCAAGCACTTGATTTTCAAAGACCTGCCACAGCGTATTGCTAACGATCCCTTTTACTCACAAACTTGTTCAGTTCTTTTGAGACACGCCCTTCTCTAACACAAATGGGTCAACCAGATTAATATACAGAGGGAGAAAACACTATGCTCTAAATGAGGGGCTCTTTTGCAAAGCCCACCTTTTACCTGAATTCCCTACCCGCCCCCCACACACCCCATTTTGAAAATACACTCTGGTCATTAGAGAATAAAGTAACCTTTAAATTCTGAAGCCTAAGGAGTTAGGAAAGTCACTCCTCCACTGGGCAAGCCTGGAATTCATGAGGGAAAATCTGCTTTCAAGTTGTTCTTACGGCCCAGGACCAGATGCTCCAAGGTGGCCAGGAACCTTTGTCTACACCCACTTAGCAGATTTCTGGCTCTTTATCAGGGACTCAGAGGTTTATTTGCAGAAATGAATCATTTCCTTCAAAGTCTCCCTTACCCTATTTACATGCTTGCATATTCCTTCCATTTTGTTTTTCCCCTACAGCGTTACTAAGGAATTAATTATCTAGAAGAACAGGAACATACAGTAAGTACATCTGAGATCCAGGATGGGACACAGTATGTCATCTATTAGGCCTGGCTAAGACCAGCAGCTGACGCTAAATGGGAAGGAACACGCACCAAATGGTTTTTAATCACAAAGTTAGTAATTAATTGCTCTTTAAAATACATTTTATGCTTCTTTCTGTCTGTGTACATGAAATGCACATTTATTACATGCCAAAAATTACAACATTATGGTTTCAATGTGACTGGCACGGAAGTCCGGAAACCAGAGTTAATGTCCCCACAGCAACTTTAATCCTGTCTGCGTGCACATGTAGAGCATGTCTTCCGTTACAGGGTAATGCGCAGAGATGGTTTGGGGAGGGGCACTAACGGCTCATAGCCTCAACTGGAGTCACGGTGAGCCACAAAGGGTAGAGGCTGCCCCTCCGCACAGACATGGCTAGTAACAATGTCCACATGCCGGGGCTGGGTGTTGTGTAACCACGGAATGAAAGCCTGCCGGGACGCTGTGCTCGCTCGGCACTCAAGGGGACAGTTTCTGTTGCTGTGGGAACCTGAACTTTGCATTTCCTGACTTGGGGGTAATTAAAATGTCAGCCTTAATGTGGCATTAATGGAGTTTGCCATAAAAATCCTCTTTGTTTTGTTCTCCCAGAAATTGCTTAAAAGTTCAAAATGATCCAAGTGTACTAAAAATTTAATCACAGGGCCTTGGATGAGTGAAGGGAAGAGAGAGAGAGAGAGAGAGAGAGAGAGAGAGAGAGAGAGAGAGAGAGAGAGAGAGAGAGAGAGGGAAGATGGCAGCAGGCAGGAGCCAGGAAAGGAAGAGCCCACAGTCTCCTGGACAGCAGGAGGCCTCAGCAGCACCATGCTACCTACACAGCTAAACTTAAACCCACCCACGCAACAGTTTGGTAATGTGTAAAGGTTAAATTAAAAATAAATAAAAACTGTTAATGAATAAATGCATGTTGGCAAGGACACAAAACCCAGACAGTCTGATGAGTCCAGCACAAAAACACTGGAAGGTAAGTGACCATGGATGTCAGCTTCTTAGGAAAGAAACTAATGCAGATCTCCCGCAGGAGCAGGGAGGACCACCAAAGGGAGATGTGCTTCCCCCTTCATGGGAGCCTTATCTGGGGGGCAAACAAGAGGGAAGGAATATGCAAGTAAAAGTTTTGGCTGCGTCTATCGCATGAGTCTGACTGGGACGTGCTACAGCTTGCTAGTTGTCAGGACAGGCTTTTCATATGGAGGACATCGTCTGCTCTACTGACTCCATTTTGTCCTGTTTCAGGACTGAGCTGGGCTCAGTGCGTATACAGACTGTTTGGTGGGCTGACTGCGCTATCAAACACCTAGGGCTCTTGCCCCCTTTCTATTCCCCAATTCATCTTAATGCCTTCTATTATCGTCATCTGAATTTGTTTACCATTATGCTTTCAGAAGTGCTGTAGAGGTGACAAGCTCTGTGGTAATGGAAATAGTGCTGAGGAGATTGTGTTGGGGAGTGCATCGCCAAACAGCATGCATTTCTGTGGCAAGATAACAGCAGCATCTCGCTGAAGGAAAGCAATCGACTGTGCTACTTCTGCTTTTGGAGATCACTAGGATCTTTGGCCAAGGCGACAGTGCCGCAGCACAGAGGCTATATGGCCAATTGATGATTTAGGGCACGGGGCTGATCATCTCTACACGAGTATATGCAAAAGCACCGTGGCTTGTCACCTTTCCTAGTTACAACAGAGCTGACTTCTCTTCTGTGGGGGTGATTTATCTACTGTGGTTTTGAACCACATCACCATTATGAGTAGCCACACACTTCCAAGATGCCTGTTTATAGCTAGGAATACCATCTTTGCGCGCGCTTTGAACAGAGAGTTCTGGATGCTCAGAATAAGAGCAGATTCGTAAGCGCTCGTCAGCACCCACGTGAGTGAACTGCAGGCAAATCCTTCCTCAGTCAGGTGTCAGTTTTCTCAGCTCTCTCATCTGTAAATTGGGAAGAATCATGCTGACGGACAGGAACTGGGCATTAAGTCATGACTAAGAATAATTTTGCTAAGCACACAACAAAATAAAAAGGTGCTATGAAAATTCAAGCACTTGTGAAAGCTTGAACACCACATACTGGTAGAATGTTCCTGAAGTTAAAGAGACTAACAAGTCAAGGGCACTATTTTTAAATGCCCCAAATCTGTTCATTCTAAATAGGAACTGAATATTTTACCTTAAAGAAATTAGGCTTTTAAATTAATCTATGGTAAGAATGACATTTGAAAGTAAAAAAAAAAATTCTCTTGAATGCAAGAAGAGCATCCAAAAAATTTAACAGCTTAAAATAAACTCCTTTCCTGTCTTCTCTCAAGCAACCTCCAAATGGACAGATTTCTGTGAATCTTTCCTAAAAACAATCTTCCTCTAAGTGTAGGCTCAAATCAGGACAAACTACAATCCAAATATGTTTGGAGAGAAGTATAATCGGTTTCAACAACAGGTCGGTGTGGAGAAGACTTACACATCTTAATGGCAAAATCAAAGTGACTTTCTAGACAGCTGAGATGAAGTGTCTCCTCCCACTTCGGACTCCTTCCAACTGTATTCACACACCCCACTGAGCTCCGCTCTGCGGGCTTCCTTCCATAGGGTCTGTAGTGACAACACCGTCTTGCTCCTTCTACATATGCCAGGCAAGAAGGGCAAGCACGGCCTCGCCAGAGGATGCTTACAATACTGTACGTGAAGCACAGTGGGTTTTCTATTCAGTACGGCATTATTTGGATGGACCAGATCTCTGGGCCGTCCTCTACAATCTCCCCAGAGGTGTGGCGGGAAGCCAAGTGATGAGGGTGTACACACCAAGACGCCATGCCTTCTACCAGAGGGAAAGACACCTTCCTGGTCTGCAGGGGCAGCGTGCACAAGTCTGCGGGGCACTGTGCCATGCTATTTTCAAGTTCTTCCTGTAATTACTATTAGGCTGGAGACTTCCGGGCAAGAAAGTCCAAGGACATGACTATGATGATGGTCCACAGGATAAAGTCCCTGCTTCCGCCGCCCCCCCACCCCCCAAAAGAAGCCACAAGTTTGACTGTACAGATCACGTGGCACTTAGTGACTTGGATCTCATTTTCTTTCCATTTTCCAGTGACAGCTGGAGTGTGGCTGCAGCCCAACCCCTGCCCTAGCTCACATCCTCTGTCTAGAGGCTATGATGGCAAAGTGGGTGGGGGAGGGACTCTCCCAGCTTCACCCTTTGTCCTCCTTGCAGAATTTTACATTTGTTCTGCGAGAAAAATAACAGCAAGGGATTTGGAATTTCATTTCCTAATGGAGATTTTTTTTTTTTTTTTGAATTTTGTCTTTGAGGAACAGGATAAATGGAGCCCTTTTGGGGAATAAAGCTTTCTTGGTATATTTAACTCACTCCATTATGCCAACTCTCTGCCTGTTACCAGACACCCTGTGGAGAGATCAGTTCAGAAGAGTTGTTGGGCATCTTGAAGCTAAAAGGAATACTTTTTCGGTTTGGTATTGTCAACACATGTGTTCCTCTCTCAAGTACTGGGTTACACTTGAGAAACGAGAAACAGCCTCCTAACGTGATTTATCAACTTTCTTAAAATAGAATTCAGAAGAGACTTCTAGATTAGTGAGATGGCAAAAATAAACAGCAAAGAAGTGATTTCAATAGTGACGACTCTCATTAAGTGCCCACTGCCAAATTTAGCCCATAGGCAGTTGTTTTAATTAAAAAATATTTTTAACCTGAATTCTTATTGGCTATGTGAAGTCTGGGTGGCTTTTGGATTCTTGGAAGCCATTCTCTTGTCTTCTGTAAATGTGTGCTACCCTTTAACCACTTCAAAATGAATTAAAAACTGGAAAGACCGACATTCAGCCAAGCTACATGAGACTCCAAGAACTAATGCAAATCTGACTTGGGTTATGTAATTTGGAAAGGGTTGTTTCCTTGTGTCTCGCTGGCCTTCTGAGGTCCATATTTGGTTGTTCCATTTAGTAACGGTAGAAGGGCCTTTACTGCGAGCAAGAACAATCGGAAAGCAGCAATATCGCTTCTTTTTGTGAGCTACTCATGAAAGAGAATGGGGCCCATGTAATTAATCAGCATTTCAGGGCCAAATGCCTGGTCACCTGGCTTGAAAAGATACTCTGGTTTAGAAAATATAGATGCTGGCTGGATCAAAATGGTGGGTGGCATGCTACTCTTGGCTACTCGGGAAGACCAAATGGAAACAGCTTGCTCTGAATGCAAAACAGCCAGAACCCTGGGGCGGGTGGGCGGGGGGGGGGGGGGGGGGGGGGGGGGGGGGGGGGGGGGGGGGGGGGGGAGAAGCACCATGCCAAGCGCTGGGAAGACACCATCACCTCACTGGTGTACTCACAATCAGACGACCCGGTGTGAGCGTGAGAGTTTGTCAGTGAATGTGTTGAGTGGATGAGGGCTGGAGACAAAACAGCTTCAAAGTTCAGGCAGGGAAGGCCCGGCTTGGCGCTGGATCCACCCGGCTGAGTAATCTCATTCTCCTCAGATGCCTTCTGGTTTTCAGCTGTCTTGGGTTTCTTCCTGAGAATAAACAAAGGGCCCTTTGAAGGAACTGACTGCATATTTGGGAAAAGGCATTTTTAGAATCTGTTAAAGATAACTTGATTTTTTTTTTTCTGAAGGGGGATGGGAGGGAGTCCAGTATGTCCCTTGTTTTAAAACAAGCTGATTCTTGTTTTTTTCCCTCCAGTAATGGCCTAACTGGGAACACATGAAAGCATATGGGCCAAGCAAACAGCACCACATTTGGACTCTGTTGGCTGTATAAAAAGACCCTGTCCCAGAACTTTAGACAGCTTGAGCTACGTATGGCTGACATTATCCAAGAAAGCATCCTTTTCCCCCCTTAGAGTTCTAACATGGTCTGGAAAAAATACTAGTGGAGGTTTACCGTTCTAGCATTTGTCAGGACGCTTAGAGACAGGACCCGTGGAGTAATGGGAAGAGCACTGGACTGGGAGTCAGGAGACTTGAGCTACGGTACTAGCTGTGCCTGCAACTTGCTGTGTGGCTTTGGGCACCTCACTTCACCTCTCTGGGCTTCAGTTTCCTCATCTGCAAAATAAAGGGCTTAGATTAGAAGGCCCTACAAGGCTCCTTCTAGCTTCAAGTCTCTGTTCTTGGAACACACTATGGAGTATCCCACTCTCCTGTTTCTATTAGTTTTATTTGAAGTCAACGCATAATTTCAAATCACAGCCTCAATCTGCAGGCTGTCCAGACGAGAGGGGCAGTGGAAGGGGTGTGTGTACAGTAGAAAGTGAAAAGCCACTGAGAAGAGCTTAGGTTCCAGTAGGTACAAGAGGGAAGGTGGCACACACACACACACACACACACATGCACACGCACACGCACACGCACACACTCTCCACCCTACTCTATTCATCCAGGCCTTAAGCTGCTCTTTGATCTTAGCTTTAGTCCGGGCTCCCGGAGTTTCGGAGTGTGGCTGGGATTTGCCTTGTGAGAAAGCCATTGCTGACGGGGAACAGAAGGGTGGAGGTATCATTCGGGGTCAGTAATAGAAAGTGCAATAGTCCAGCCGTCAGTCAGCTCAGGGCTCCTTTCCCCATGGCAGTGCAATCCACAGTAACTCGCAAAGCAGCATCTAGAGCAGCCCGACCCCGGACCCCAGATAAAAGGGATTATGAGTTCCTCCGTGAGCACATGCCCAGTTTCTGTGGCTTTGTGTCTTTTTCTATCTCTGTGTAACCATAGAGTATGTTGTTGTTGTTGTTTTGGATAGATTATGTGTGGGACATAATCTGTCGTAAGTCGCTGTGTTTCCATGTTCTCCTTGTTTCTATGAGCATGGCATTGGACTTGTATACAGAATATTTCGTATTGAAATATGTTGTACTGGGTAGTCAAATCTGCCCTCGCAGAATATGGTGTTATGATTAGTATGCTGTGTTTTTAGTCCAACAGGTTGTGAAATCAAATCTGTTTCTTCAGAGGGCACAAGGCAGAAATAGCATGGTAAAGATTGGAATTAGGGGGAGGGGGGACTTTCTGATATATTTCTCAGTGTGGAGAAAGCCAACATAATAAAAACAAGCCTTATCATTGCCGAATGGGTGACTCTGGGGCTAACCCTCGAATCCTATGCCTACCTCGGGGACCCCCAAGGATCTGTTACTCTGGTTTTTCAAATTAAGAAAGCATCCAAGGTCAAAGTCTCCAGAGTCAAACCTCCCCCTTTGTTTCCCCTAGGAGACGTCTATTTCTAGTAGTGTGGTCTGCTGCGGAAGCCCCAGGTGCAGCGCTCACCTTCCTCTGCCTCAGCTTACCCATGCAGTCCTCTCAGGTCTGCTCCCTCCGCAGGCAGCTGCCATAACCCTTCCTGGAGCAGTGCTGCCCACAACCCCCCCCCCCCCCAGTCCTGCTGCTTTCCATTCACTAAATCCTGCAGGACCATGGCAGTCTGGCATTCAAGGTCAGTTCCTTATCTGCCCCATCTTATCTCATGGGTCCCATATATTGGCCACCTTGGAGCTTGTTTATCATTCCCAGGGCTCTGGAATGTACATTCTGGGCGCTTCACCTTTACTCATTACTGTTCTTGCTTTGAACAGCCTTTTCTCATCTCTGCCTGGTGAAAAGAGGTGTGCCCTTCACACTCATTAAATGCGAGCTCCACGTTATACTGCTGTGGGTCCCCTCTTTCTGAATGGACGACTCTTCTCCAGATGATCCTGAACTCTCTCAGTAGTTTCAGTGTTCTTGTTTGACTCACTAGATCTTCTTTCAGTAAACTGTTCATTACATGCCACTACTTCTAGGAGAGACTGACCTCTCTGTGGGAAGGGGGAGGTTTTAGTTATTGTTGCAGTCCTGGTGTTCATCCTCATTCACTCATCCACATGGTCATTTCACAAATACCATGTGGCTGTGATGTGTTACACAGTCTGGGTCCTGTCCTCCCAGAGTTTCCTGTCTAGTCTATACTGTGAACCAGGGCAACTGATACACAGCAGCCATTCAAAAGCTGTTTGCTGATGGAATTCAACAGAGCTGAAATTCAAGTACACTTGGAGACTAGTCCCCGTCTGAATCTCAATTAAGCTTCCTAGTTTTTATGCAGTAGTGGAATCAACCTGGATTGGTTGCTTTCTCATTGATTACATGAAGAGTATTTAATAAGAGTGGCTGGTCTTTGTAATTCATCTAAATGTAGGGACATATCACCAATGGCCATTACCATGTAGCAGAAAAGAAATGACCTCTGGGGCTTACAGACGAGGCCTGAGCTAGTTTCAGACTTGTGGTTCAGAGAATTAAGGGTGCTCTCTTCCAAGCACTAGCGCACTGCCCAACCACCCAATGACTCCAATTTAACCCTGGAGAAACTGCACTCTTTACATCCTCGCCTCTTGTCTTGAACTGGGTTTTGATACCTGTCTGAAATCCTGGGCATCACCTTATGTCTCAGAGCACCTTGGGAGGCCGTTACAGCTACCTCTGCAAGAAGAATACATTCAAAACCAACCTACCTGGCTCCTGCCCTGATTCGCTTACTATCCCTTTATTTACCCTTTTACCATTGGCTGTTTCCCAGCGCACAGACAAGAGCACTGCACACTGTCTGTCTGAGCAGCTCCTCTCCTATCCCAACCTCTTTCACAATTTGGGACTCCTTTTTCTGAAGCCAAGAAACAGCAACACCTACCACCAGTCTGTCTGACACGCACAGGTGCTCTTCTACGACCCTTTTTTTTTTCTTTTGCAGTTTGTGGTTTATTAAGGAGGAAAGAGCAAGCTCTCCTGTAATTAACTGAAATGCCTTCTTTGGTTGCATAAAAAGGATTGTATAAACATGGCCCGTCTGAGGACGTGTCTGTACAAGCCCGTGTGGCTTGCACTCTCCCCTGGAGTCTGTAGAGGGCAGCAGCACACTGGCTGACTTCAGGCAGCATTTCAGAGAGCAAACTCCTACCAGAACCTTCCTCCTGGTCACCATGCCAAAGGTTGGTTTGCCAAGCTCTCTCTGGCCTCTCAGTCTCTTTCAAGTTCGTTCTCTCCCCCGCCTGCTGTGCATCTCTCTCTCTCTCTCTCTCTCTCTCTCTCTCTCTCTCTCTCTCTCTCTCTCTCTCTCTGTTAAAATTATACATTGTGATGAGGTGGCCCCTCAACCGGAAAATGAAAACTTCAACGAAAAAGTCAGACAGGCCAACAACAACAAAGAAAAACCCGGGGGAAAGGGGAAAGGGGTTGTGAGCGAGAAAGACTTCAGAACAAGAAAAGGGCAGATGTTTCGTAAATATATGCAAAGCAAAACTGGGTGTACCCTGAACACTTCCACAGAAAAACAGGCCAATCATTGTGCACTTCCTCCCGCCACACTGGTGGAGCTCTGCATTCAAAAAAACAGAAAAAAAGAAAAGAAAAAAAAAAGTGTGGCCGCAGGCACCCGCCTTTCAACGGTCAGTGCTGACATTCTGACTGAACATGTCCCAATTGTCCAAAGAGAACAAAAACATTTTCATCTCCCCACTGTGAACATTTTTGTTATGAGAAAAAGGCTGCTTTAAGAAATAGGAAGGCGGTTTAAGGTGAAGGGCGCCCGGCTGGCCGGCCGAGCTAGCCAGCAGAGCCTTCTGTTTGTTAACTCTCCCTGTGCTGGCCCTGCCAGAAAGTTTAGGGCTGAAATATAGCAGTGAGCAAGGCTGTGGAGGATTCTGGCTCTTCCCTAACTAGACCATATTGTTTGTGCAAAGAAATATGCATTAAAACATATGGATGCGCTGTTAGGTATTAAGCATGTTAGATGCATTGAAATTAGGCAGATCGGTGGTGTTGGATGTATATAGTTCACACTCCTTCGCACATATCGTACACATACAGTGATGGCAATACTTTCTGCAACATATGGAAAAATAAATATTTTATCCGTGTGAGCTCTTATCAGTCTCCAGGGTCTGTTGAGAGGCGAGTGCTTCTATCTCTCTCTCCCAATTCTCTCCCTTCAGTGGGCTCCCACCCTCTCCTGCACATTAGCAGGCTTTCCACTTACCAGCCTGGTTAGATAGGAAAGGATTAGTCAGAACCTCCCTTTGATAAATAATTACTCAGTCATTGGATCAGGATAATTTAGAGCAGCGATGCCTTCCTCAGCCTTTTTGGAGCGGCCCCTATTTCCCTCCTCTGCTTCACAACTGTAGAGTGTCTGGGGAGGGGCTGGGGTGGAAGTAAAAAGCCACCACCACTCCCACCTGGGCAGGGGGACTTAGGAAAACTGAGCTCCACAGCTAGCAGCCATGTGCCCAAGGCAGGTCAGTCAGCATCTCTGAGCCCCCATGATCCTGATCTGCAAAATGGGAACAGAGATCCCTTCCGGCTGTGGGCTGTGGGTAAGAGTAAAGGAGATGAGCCAGGCCGTGCTTAGTACAGTGCTGGCCCAGGAGCAATTATTCGATGGTGGAGCTTTTTGAAAAGTCGAGTTCTGTGGTGTTCATGTTAGCTGTGTAAGTAAGTCATCTTCATTTTAGCAATCTTTTGAATATCTAGGTCAGGGCAAGGGCCGAAGGATTGTTATTGTAGTGAACAGAGAAGGAATGTTAGGTTCAGCAACCTCTTCTTCCCACCCTGGTCTCCCCGCCCCCCACCTCTCTTCTGTTCACATGCTTCTCATTGCTGTGGCTTCACTGAGAGCTCCGTGGAGCTGAGGGTCAAACAAGCTGCACTTGGCCTGCAGTAGCCCATCGGCCCGAACACTAGGGTCTATTCATGACACCAACCTCCAGGACTGTTGCTTATCATGCCTTCTTACAATTTATCCTTTCACAACTTGGCCCAATATTCTCACATTAATTTAAAATGTTTTCATGATTAAAGCATTTTATTATCTCAATCTTTTTTTCCCCCTTCTTCTTGGCAGGGCTGATTTACAATATTTTTCAGTGTCTTTCCTCACTGTAGTCAGGAGCCTGGCAGGAAATCAATGGTACATGTAAAGGTTCTCCTCCACTGTCCCCCCCCCCCTTTGTTTTTTGAGCCAGGGTTCATTGTGTAGCCTTGGCTATCCTGGAACTAGCTCTGTAACTGGCCTCGAACTCAGAGGTCCACCTGCCTCTGCCTCCCAAGTGCTGGGATTAAAGGCATGTGCCTCTACTGCCCAGCTCCACGTAAATGTTTTAAGTGAAGGGAGTTCGATGAAGGAATTGCATCTCAAGGTGTAGATGAGACCAAGGCACACTCTCAAGTGATGGCGGAGCACCAGAGATCAGCAACAATGCAGAGCTGTTGATCTCATCTTTATCGCAGGGAAGCTGGAAGCCAAGAGAGGGGCACGTTTTCTGAACTGAGTCAGGATGGCACAGGGTGCGCTCTGACATTCTCACTTCTTCCTGCTCCCAATTTCCATCTCTTACAGAAGTCTTCTTTAGTCCTGATTCTCAGGGAAGCTAGAGAACAAGTGAGCCTGGGCACTGGAGTCCTGAGAAGTCTCTGGGTCATGCACTAGGACAGGAAAGGGCAGGTGGGTCAGCAAGATTCATTAGCATACCTATTGTCTCCCCTTTGCATTTCTTTCACACTTTTCCTCTCAATTATACTTTCTGGAAGGAAAAAGGAAAATAAAATCAAATCAGTCCTCTGTTAGCTTCCATGTACCTATTTTGTCTGTTTGCCATTTATAGAGCAGGGAAACTGAATGTAAGCTCACAAGTGGGGATTTGTTTGTGTTCCTTGCTACTATATCCGTGTGCCCAGAATAGTGTCTGGCACCCACTGAATGCTCAGCAAATTTTAGTGGAGTAAGTAGATATAGTCATCTCTGCTGTGCCAGATCCTCTATATACATCATCTCGCTTAATTATCACAACAGCAACAGTAAGTAGGCAGGCTTGCGCATGTGTGCAGGTAATTGTGATAAAACCCAGCACTTGCTTCAACCATCACCTCTCAAACTTTGGGAACAGGGGCAGAGCACTGGCAGCTCCCAGGACACTCTCAGAAAGGAACACACTTTTGTAAAGTTGCTGTTTTTAATATTTTTCCGACTTGGTGACTATTTCTTTGGTGTATATAACAGTCTCTGAAGAGTAGACACTACTAGGGTTATAATTCAACCTGTCCATTCCCCAGGGCCCAGGAGAAGACGAAACACCATTCTGGGGCAAAAACAGGTGGGCTGTGCATTTCCTTGCAGTTTCCAAGAAAGATCAGATCCCAATTCTTAGGTCTAGGTCTGTGTTCTCTGCAGCACAAGAATGGACGAGTTGTACAGAACACACAAACCTTGGTACCAGTCCATATCCTAGCCTGACTGCGCTATTGGCACAAGCATCCTTCTGTTTGAAGCAAAATTCAGACGTGAGAAACTATTCAGATGTGAGGATTTCGAAGGGACTCCTTGCACTCGAACATAAGGATAAATTATACAATTAAGTTCCCTGTGTGATTATAGGCAGAAGAAACAATTTATGGGTTTTTTCTCATGCCATTAGGCCTTAGTCACTCAATGTCCTTCATTTCCCATCTTGGCTAGAAAGGTCTGTCCATCACCTACATACTAGCTATCATCAATTATCATCTAAGAGACCAAATGCATTACGGGTAAAAAGACTCTAAACAAAATTCTAGCTTCATTTCTTTGGATTCGAAGTATGCTAGAACAGCTAAAGACACAGATAACATGAATGTGAAAAATCCTATCTGGCCCCTAAGAGGAGTATTAGCCTCCCAGGTTTAGTGTTTTCCAGTAACACAGACTTCTGCAAATCACCATCCCATTAACTGCTTTATACTGTATAGGAAAACTTGTAAGTACAATGAAAATGAGATTTCATTTTAAAATGCATAATTATTTTGCATACATACCTTCTAAACAATTCAAATTTCTGGTGTTTCTTAGTGGAAAAAGAGCATGTATTCATCTATTAGTTTTAATATGATTAGTTAGTAAATTTTCATTAGTTTCCTGTGGATATTGACTCTCCTACCTGTCTTATTTCCTTGTGAGGGATATATTTCTACAGGAACGCCCTGTGTACAAGGAACCCAATCAGCTACACAGTGCCATGCACCCAGAGGCCAGAGCAGACCTGGCTTGATGGGCTGGAAATATGGTGGAAGGAGCCCCGAGTCCCAAAAGGAAGCCTTGGCTCCTTACAGTTGCAAGGAAGCAACAACATGGGGTGTGTCCCAGAGATCATGTAGGCATAGGCAAGGAAGCTGGCTCAGAGATTTGACCCAGGTGACATAAAAGGACAAGCTACTGCAGGACTCAATAGACGGGCACCGGATGAGCTGTAAGCACAGGAAGAGGAGCTACCGACATCTTGGGAAGAGGCACACAAGACCAAGTAGAATAGCTCCAGTCCCTTCAAGGTGTACAGAGATCCAGCATGACACAGCCACCAGGAGATGGGAGACAGATGGGAGAGAACAGGACCCAGGCATGCATGTAATGAATGCTGGTAGCTGAAAACAGCTGCGGGTATTGGGGCTGGTCACCTAAGAGATGAAAGTGTATCTAAAAGATGAAGCTATTTGAACTTTTACCTGCTTTTACACTTGTGTGGTTTATCATCATCATCATCATCACCATCATCCTCTATTAAATGAAGTAAACTAATTCACTGGAGGCATAATGTACTTACAGTAGTTTTCAGATAAATGGTGTCACTCTTCAGGTAAGTCACTCCAAGGCTTGGGCCTAGTGCAGATGTTCATTGGGGCAGGGGACAGAGAGCGGCTGCATCTAGCAGAAACAAACAACAAAACAGCAAAGGTCGTTAAATGAGTAGTCATGGTTACGGCATTCTCTGCTCATTTATTTAGCGGTTTTTGACAGAGATGAACTAAGAACATGACTGAGGCTGGCTCTGCACCTTTGTTCTGCAGTGTTTCTGCTGGCTGCTGGGATGTCTGAGACATCAGAGCACCCTTGCAGTGCAGATGAAGTGGCTTTGGGAAGCTGAGTGGAGGTTAGACCAGAGAGACTGGGACAGCCCCTTTCCAACTTGGCCCAGCCAATGCTTCTGATGTTTTACACGTATTGACTGTTTGTTAGCTGACACAAATTTGTAGAACATATAACATAATGTTATCACGATGTTATGAGGTTTGTGCTCACTGTGGAATAGACAAATCAAGCTAATTAGTATATCTACTGCCTCACATTATATTTTTTGGTGATAGTTGTTGTTGTTGTTGTTTTAATCCTAGGGCAGGCAGTAAACTGTAAATCTCAGTAGCTGCCTGGAGCAAGAGAAAAGAGAAGAGAAGGAGGCGGGGGAAAATCTCTGAATGTAGGTCTTTTCTAGAATAAAATTTTTGTTTAGGCTAGAAAAATGTCTAAATAAAGTTTAGTATTCTTTGAACATTCCCATAGCCTATGTTAGCCACCATTTTACCTCTGCTTCTATGAGTTTGCCTCTTTTGGGTTCCACAGGTAGGAAAGAGCATGCTATGCTGATCTATGTCCTATGTCTGGACTACTTCACTGAGCGTGTCCAGGCTCACTCAGGGCAGGGGCAAAGCTGCCTTCTTTTGACAGGCCGAGCAGTACTGCACGGTGTCCAGGTACATCCCAGCTCCGGTATTTCTGACTCCCTTCAGTCCCTGCCTTGCGCCTGCTCAGGCACTGCTTCTCCTGAAGACAGCCACTTCCCTGGTTTGGATTCTTGCCTTCTCCCTGTTCCCTTTGCAGAGAACTGAAGAGTCTCCTTCCTTATCTTTAACCCCAGGGAGCACAGTCTTGGAAAGTTTAGATTATGATCTGTCTCCAGGGGCTTCCCGCTCACTACCCCGTCACCCCTGACATTCCTGCCTTCTGGGTCCTGCTCAGGGTCCACTTTGTCCCTGAAACTTACCCACCTTTGTGATGGGGCAAGACACTGTCCTGCTTGTCTCCCTGTCTCAAGTCTGCTGCTCTGTGTCCTGCACTCTGCTTGTTCCCTTCTCCTCTTCCCTTGATAGAAAATTCTTTAACCTTCCCTCCGCAGGCTTTGTCTAGAACACTTGCCTGGACCTCAACAGGCACGTCCCAGAGAGCATCTACACTGCTCTATCTAGCTCTTGCTCTCTGCAGTACCACTGACCTGTCTTCCAAGGCCAGCGAGTGACCAGTGCACTCACCATTTGGCCACCCAGTGTGCACACTGTATCCAGGAGACCCTGGGCAAAGATGAGCAGCTCAGGGTCTCTAACTCTTTGAAACATAACATCTCTGATGAGTATTACCAGCTCTTTGAAGTTAGAAACTTTAAGACAGACCTCACTTGTCTTTCTCTCCAAATCTGTTGCTACCCCAGAGTTGGTGCTACCTCTCCTCCATGGCTTGTCTACAGTTGAGCAGTTATCCTGATGTTTTTGCCTTTCCAAAGCCAATCAGCTGCCAAGTTCTTCCTCTGGTCAACTTTCCTGAATCTACTTGTTTTTGGTACCCGCCACCATTACCTCTTACCGCCTGCTGCCAGAGCACTGGAGGACATCTCCTGACTGCCTCTCTTCTTCTAGTTTCTTTTCGTTTGACACCAACATTCCACCTTTCTAACACTGGTACATTAGTGTTCTAAAGCACCACCCGAAACACATTCCTCCTGTGCACAAAAACCCCTTTGACGACTGCATAAAATTTAAACTTCTCAACTTGACATTGAGTATGTAATAAGGGTCCCGATTCAAATTTCAATTCTTGTCTATAGTTCATTCTACACATCAGCAACGTCCCACTCTTTTCCACATGTTCATGCTATTTTTCTCTAATTTCAATGTCTACATAGAGCTTCTTTATGGGTCACTAAATGCCACCTCATTTAGGAAGCATTTCTCAAAGGGAAATGCCCTGGAATCCTCAAGCACTGATTTGCAGGACCCCCTGGCACAGTCTACTGACTCCAATCACCATTTGTATCATTTCTCTCCCCACTCTTGAAAAGCAGAGACAATATCCCAGGGTGGAGGCTTCAGAAACAGCCTTAGAAGCAAATTTTCTCTCTGACTCTCTCTTGTCCTCCTCTGTTCTAGCTCCTTTCGTAACACAAGTCACAGAAATGAGAGATTCCTTTCTGCAAAACAGGAGATAGAAACTGGAACCCTTTTCCTAAGAGCAGATCACGAAGCTTAAAAACACCGTTCTAATCTTCCCATGCCTCTCTGTGTAGGAACAGGCCGTAAATGTCCTGACGTACCTTGTTTGGAAGTAGATCCTAAGACCCCAGGCTAAGAAATGGTTCTGTCCAACGGAGGTAGAAGGAATGTTACACCGAGAGGCCAGCAAGAATCTGAACAGACAGGCCTTGCTGGGCTTCTGTGCTGAGTCTACTACCAGTAGGTCACACTCCTTTTGACCAATCATATTTCCACACAGCTGTCCAATCTCTAGCAAGCTTAAACATGGATGGCTCACCCTGTATCCTTGGGTATTCATCCTGAAGTCTCTACTATCAGGTAGACTTGAGCTTTTCTCGTGTGACTAGTCTTTAGCTATAGTGGTGTTGGCAAAGTCCTTCTATGGTGTATAGAATAAGGACCACACCTCTTTTCCTGCCCCCAGAGTACAATTCCTTGCATATGGATGTGTGTTCATCTGATGTTGGCTGAATGCAATTCCAAAGGAAAAAGGAATCTTGCTTAGAAGGCATAGAAACTGAGGACGAACAGAAAGGACTTAGAAGCTCATCTGCTCCACTGTCCTTGTGATCAGATGAGGAGATTAAGGGAGCCGACTTCTCAAGGTCCTATCCTTGTTCACAACTAAGCAAGGATAACTGATATAAAAGGTCTTGTGTCTTTAAATATCTTTCAGTGCCTGATAAATACCAATAAGCCTACCAGACCACCAAGAGTGAAGTCCAGACCAAAAGGCCAGACCAGAGACAGGGAGAGTTTGTGGGAATACAATGTTTCAAAAATAACAAACTTGTTTCAGTTATTAGCATCAACAAACTGAGCAAATAAATACCATTTTATAGTTCAATAACACCTTAAAATGAGGGTGGATCATAAAAGCAAAGAAGCAGATTTTTCTAATGTTACCAGCAGTAATAATTATGATAATACTGAAAATACCACTGCTGTGATAAACTCAGACTGAAGACTAGGATGAGGCTCCTCGCACTTTAAAAAGGCCATGGCTTCGGCTACAGTTCATGGTGGGAACAGGCTGCAGTAATTCTACGGTTAAATTTATTATAGCTGGTCGGCAGACTTGCCGAATTAACACTTCTATTCCCAGCTAGCTTTGTTCACTCTTCGGGCTCTGGACGTGCTTAAATTTGCACTTATCTTTCTGCTTATTTAATGGCTGCTCCACGTTTCATCTCTTTTTCTTGCCTAGTTTCCTTCCAGGGATAGAAGAAATATTGTTTGTTCCATTTCTCCTCTGACCTCAAACAGAATCATTCTTTCTTAGTCTTAAATGAAAAGCTAAAACAAAGCAAACAGACAAAAGACCCAAACCAAATTAAAACTACAACCCAAAACAACTGTCTTGGGATAGTGGTGCTTACCATAGCAAGTAGAACAGGGCTTCCAGGAGTTAGCTGTCATTCTCACTGGCCAAGAGAGCTTCCTCTTAAACATCAGTCTATACTATAGGCTCTCGAGTACCACAAGGCCTTGCCAACTCAATGTTGGCCAGCAGAGGAAGAAGACGGTAATATCCATCAAACCCTTTTTGGCTGGTACAGTGCAGAGGTGCCATGGATTGACCCATTTACCTTGGCAGCTGCATTACCAGCAAAACTGGGCCCAGAAACTGTTCACTGTTCTTTCTAACACATCATATGGCTAAAGATTATTAATAGTTCACCACACCGAACTTTCTTCTTTTTCATCTCCTGGCAACTACATTAAGGTAATAAAGAAAATCACTGATCAATATTCTCCCACATTGCAGTGAACAATTACCTGGCAATACACAGATCTCCTCTATGTAATTAGGTAAGTGTACATGTTCAGGACACATAACAGTTTACTACAAGTGTGGAATTTATAATTAAACAGAGGCATAATCTTCCTGCCCTTTAATCAAGCCCCTTTCCTTCCCATCCTGCCATGATCTTCCAGTTCTTGGCAAACTGTCTTCTACCCCTATTTCCTTATTTGCCCTCTCAGGTGCCTGCACACACCTGAGGGTCTATTAATCAGTACTACTGTGTGGTCTGTCATGTTGATTGCTTAAAGGGCAGTTATACTCTTAAAAAGACTCAGTGGAGATGACTTCATGGGGTTTCATATTTATTCCCTTTTAATGACTTCCATATCCAGTGGACTTAGTTTTTAAGTTAAAAGGTAATTTTTGAGGGGCTGCTGGTGCCACAAATTCTATCAAGACTCTGGAAATCCAGCTGTCCTCTCTGCCTCTTACATCACCACTGTGATAAAGAATCTGCCCCGATGCAGAACAGAGGGTCACTTTTCTTTAGCTTGCTGCTTTGCTGGTGTCTCTGTACACTGCCTCAGGAAGCTGTCTCAGAGTATGTCATGCTAAGGTGTGACTTCAATGTGGCCTTTGCTACTCACTCCTCAGAGGTCACCAAACCAATGTAAAATGGAAGAGTCCTTTCAGGGTGGAAGCTCACAGAAAGGGCAGAGTGAAAACAATAGCAACTATTTCCTGGCTATCTACATTCTATCAGGGACCACACATTTGCATATATGAAAACATTCTCATTTAACCTTCTCAGCCATGTTGACTACTATGCCCAGGGTCTGGAGGAGGAACAATGACTCAGTGAGCTCATGGAACAAGTC